AGCTATAATCGTCCATACTAAGCACTTTGTAGACTAGTGATTGCAATAGTTTACCTGGACAAGTTCCTGGACGTGTATACACTTTTACGTCACTTCCGGTTAAAACTAGTTACCAGTCTCCGGGACACTTTTTTTATCAAATTTGCCATCTTTAGGCCGAAAAAAATATGGTTTATAGTCCAAACATGACAGTTTGACTTATCAAACTTTGATACATATATATTGAACTACTAGAAACAGGAAAAAAAGTTTACCATGTCATATGCTCTTTAAGGCAAGACATTCTTGCCATTGGACATATAATTACACATAAATAGAACTAATATATAATAGTATTGATTGTCAACATTACTTGATAAATTGGATTATAGGGTCTTGCTAACCTGCAACTGTCTGAACCTTAAAAATCTTGAGCAGTTCCATATTTGAGAAGTTTTAAAATGAATATAAATTTAAGAAATATCACAAATCCTTATTTATGAAGAATGTATCATATTTAAGAAATAAAACATTTTTTCGTGCCTTCATAGCGCTATGAAAACCGAGGCGTTTGTTTGGGAGAATTCGAGACCTTCACGAGACCTTCACGAGACTCCTTAGATCAAGCAAAAACTACGTGTTTGTTGAGAAATAAAGGGTGCATGCCTCTCGAAAGGTGAACTGGATCATAACATTAGAAAAAGGTAGCGAACTAGCAACGAAATTTGTGCTGCTTTCGCTGAATGAAAGCATATCTTCGTCAATTCATTGATTTGAATCTAAGTAAAAGCTTCATATTACTTTTTCCTTTCAGAATTGGTATGAAAATTATATCTACATGAGGTTTTGGAAAAACCGCAGAAAAATACTTGCTGAAAGACTTTGTTTTGACACTTTGATACTTGATAAACCACTTAGACGTGCCGCCACTTTACGCTCTCGTTACACCCGAAGATAAAATTCACAATGCCACAAATAATACCGCATCAAAGCATTGGTCAGATGAACTCCGTTTCATGGATAATAAGGTGGAATTCATCTTCAAAGATTTTTTATTATAATCCTTGGACTACGTTTTGTCAGTTTGCATAGAATATCATTGCACAATTAACTCTCTTCAATGACACTCGCTACAAGATTGGGATCATTCTGACAAACATATTGAATATAGCTTTTTACATCATTTAATGAAGTAAACTTAACTGCTTCGTGAACCAATTCATTTCGTTACTTTTTCGATCTTCCATTTTTTAAGTTGTTGGTTGGACCAGCATTCCTTGTTTTAGTTTTTGACAACTTGTGTAATAAACGGTACTGCAACTCCTGAAAGGTCATTCGCTTTGCTTGCAAGGGAGTACTTGTTTTTGTTTTCTTCTCATCACACGGACGCTTCTTTGCTGAAAGCTTACATGTCTTTAAGTATTTAACAACTTCATCTCTTGTAAGTCCAAAGAAGTCAAACCCAGACAGATTTTTCTTCTGACTATCAAGCTTCAGGAATTTTAAAACATTTCTCGAGGCAATTGTTGGTTTTGTCTCTGAAGTCTTAAGTAAGTTTCTTTGCCATCAAAAACTGCGCAAAAGAATATAGCACCAAATTCACTTGAGTCCTTCCTTATTTGACATGATACCTCATATCTTTTCCCTTCAGATACAACTTACTTACTTCATAACCAGGGCGAAGTGGTACAGTAATCTTCTTGTGGTTGTATGACCAGCTTGGTCCATTATTTGGTGGATCGATTCCCACATTTTTTATCCTAGCCAGTTCACAGTTTTCCATGACTTGAGTGCAAAGTTTACAAAAGTATCACTACCAGGCAATACACGATGGCCAAGCAAAGCTTGGTACTTGGTTTTCTTCTTTTTCATTTCTCTCTTTCTTACTTGTCTCGTTATCCAAGTATGAATATCCACATATCCCTGCTTCTTGAACTTCAGAGTCTGGGTCAGAACTTCCATTCTCGATTGCGATGGCATCAATTAGCACCAGCCTTTTAAAGACATCTTGTCGTAAGAAACCAAAGAAAATTGGTCCAGATAAATGTTTTTTACATTGAACATCTAACTGTTCTAGTAATGTATTGGCAGCCTGAGTTGGAGTTGTAGCAAAAACATCAACTCCTTTATCATCACAATAACACCTGAATAATAGTGCAACCTGGGGTCTGATGATTTAACAATATATAGTTACTTCTTCACTATTATCAAAAACGACTGATCTTTTAGCTTTGTAGCCCGTGCGAATATAATTCTGTAAATCTTGTGAAGTACTAACCCAGGGAATGTTTTCTTCTCCATTGTCTATAGTAGACTTTCCAATGTCCACCAATCTTTTCCACTTTATGTTTATTTTTCTCTTTTCATAGATTTCAATTTTATCTGGAACACTCCTGAGTAATATGAATGTAAGAGGTACGATTAAAATCGTTGGCAAATCTTACAAATTAGAGCATAAAAAGACTATTTTAGCAAGCAAATCCTTCTTATCACTTGAAATCCTCAAATCAGATCCTTTTCATTCAAAGAGAAAAAAATACTTACATTTCATGTATTTTCTAGAGCTTTGTACCATTTTAATTGCTGAGATCACTGCAAGTCTATCGACCATATTGCAAATCTACCAATTGCTCTCCACGCACATATTCTAATGCTAAAGCCGCTGAATACATCATTTTTTTCTTGATTTGAAATTTATACAAATGAGAAATGTATCAATGTTACGAACCTTTCTAAAAATTGAGATCGCCGTGTCAGAGAATTATCTAGTTGATCACAAACGGTTGGAAAAGATGTGTTTGTTGTCCTAAAACTAATGTTAAAATAATTATCACTAATTTGCCCTTTCCACAAACAATACATTTGAAGGTGAATAATTCTTAAATTCTAAAGAAGGACAAGGCCAAATTAGACGATGTAATTACCTCGTTGAATGCAACCCTAGCTATAATGAGCGGTAGGCTAGAGCTCAACAAATCAAAACAAGAAACGTTGGAGCAATATAACAGTAAACACAATTTGATAATTAACAGGATCCCAGAACGAAGGGACGAAGACCTGGTTGAAACGATCAAAGAGCTTGGTGATTTAATTGACAATGAAATCCCTGACAGGGACGGAGAATTGACATTGTGCACAGGCTGAACAGTAAGACAGGCTAAACGAAAGCCAATAATAGTGAAGTTCGTCCAGTATACTGCCGAAAAAGAGCTCTATGAAGCCCGGCGTAAGCTGAGAAACATCTCAAAGGTTCAAATTGAAAAGATAAACCGCCTATTTGGTGCTACGAAAATTTTCATTAATGACAATTTTCGTAGCACCGAGACGCGTTATTTGCTGAAGTTAGAAAGCGTGTACGTCAGTACTACTGGCTTTCATCTTGGACTTTCATCTCTTTTGATAATAATTTATTATTCCGTGTTTCGCCCTCCCGTGTATCTGGCTAATAATGTTAAAGAACACAGGGTGTCATTTGCTAGTAACGGTAGTTTTCAATACTCACGTAGAAAGAATGTGCAAAAAAATCTCGCAAAGGATAGCAGTTCTAAAAAGGATTAAAGCTTGTTTACCACTTAAACAAAGAATTTTATTTTATTATAACGAAATGATAAACCCATTATTTAATTATGCAAGTATTGTCTGGCAATCCAGGTGTCGTAAGGACTCTATCTCAAGAATGTTCAGACTGCAGAAAAGAGCAGCTCGTGTAATAATGAACAGAGACTCTCAAACTCGTTCTGTACCTCTATTCAATACTACAAAATGGCTGCCTTTCTACACAGAAACGCTAATATCTAGATGTACTTTATTATTTAAAAGAACACAATTACTAGTAGTTATCGATCTAATAAATTATTTTGAAAATGACGCGCGATGGCGTTGAAACGTCGAAATCTCTTGTTGTCCTTACTTGTTTAACAAAACTTATTAAGCACAAACAACTAATTCGTATCCTAAAAGACAACCAACAGCTTCAATTGTTCAGAGATCTAGAACATTGCAGCAAGAAATTGATCAAATGCAGAGCAGCGATTGAATATCTAAAACTTTGTCAGAATCTGGGGATCACGCCGACCTTTGCCAAAGTAAAAACTTCCAAGACCAATAGATTGAAAGCTTCAACAAAATCATCGTGAAAGATGAGATCCGACAGAAAACTGCCCTACTAGTCAAATTAAAACAAGAATCAACATCAAAATGGCTAGACATACGTCAACAGTGCACAACCCTTCGGTATACGCTAATCCTTAACAGCATCACCAACCTCTGTAAGAAGACACTCTAACAACAAATTAAAACCCACACCAAGAAGATCTCACACATGATCTCGAAAACCGGTGACATCACATTACGAACAAATCCTCGTACAAGTTATCCCTCTCATAGCCAAAGGCTCCAAGCTCGCACACCTCTATGGCTTACCAAAAACACACAAGGCAGAGCTATCCATGCGACCTATACTATCAGCAGTTGGAACATATAACTACAAACTGGCCAAATGGTTAGACAAGAAACTCAAACCATTATCAGTCAACAGACACACGATTACAGATATATTCCAATTCGCCGAAGAGCTAGGAGACATTAAAGCGAAAGAAACTGACATCCTCGTCTCCTATGACGTAACTGCTCTCTTCACTAATTACAATTACTAGTGCCTGATTATCTAATAGATGCTCTCAAACTTAATAATTCTGTGCATTCTAGGAATACAAGATTCTCTGCATGAAATTTCATTACGCCTCGTTACAACAGAATAACCGAAGGTGGAAAGACTTTTTTGGTAACTTCTATTGAACAATGGAATAGATTATTACCCGACCTAAAAAGACAAGCAACTATTAAATATTTTAGAAGTGCTATACGCCGTGAGTAATTTAAAGATCAATAGGCCATTTGCAGCAATTCGTCACGTGACAAATGACCCCATAGCAACAAGGCCGTGGTGGGCAAGCAAAACCAACACACCGTGACAACAATAAGACTTTGACTGGCGAAGCGTTCAATACCAAGACTATAACATCTGTTTTTATCCTTTATTGTGAGTTTTTTGAGGCGATTTTTGGTTCAAAAGTAGGGCAAAGTGTCTTCGTTCTTTTCCAATAAGTTTTTCTGCGATCGCTGTATGTAAAGAAGAGTTTTGGACCTTTAAGCTGTTCGACGCCGAGGAAAACACTAGCGCGTAATGGCGGAAATCTCAGGTATGTTTATGGTTCTTTGACTCACAATCTTGCCTCGCTATTAGTCTCATTTATCAAGATTTGTGTAGAATAGATAAAGATACTTCCATTGAGACAATTTAAAGCCTAAAGACTCATTCTTTACTTGTATTTTTGACCATTTCAAGCATCGAAACTTTAGGTGCGATGGCGCGTCTGGTCGGCGCGTCTTCGTTTTGTAAAAACTCCAATATGCTTCAAAAATCTAATTCATCTTTGGGTTTCGTTATTGTAGATGAAACAACTGATATTTCAAGGCTTCCCGATCTAACATTTGGAGATGTGGAGACGTATGCTCGTTCGCAATCTGGCTGTTCAAGCACAACAAAAGCTTACAAATTCTGTGCCGAACCAGGTTATTTGCACGAAATCAAAGGTACTATTTTCACTTATTGTGTTCATATTCCAAATACGTTCCGCTTAGTTATCAAATCTGCATGTATTCTGATATTTGGTGTTCATTATATTTCAAACTTCTTTCAGTTAATACGTATTTCTTTTATTATTTTAGTGCGCTATTCGCAAGATCTTCAAGTCAATATAGCCAAGATTGCATCAAAGTGCTACCGATCCATGAAAAAGAGTGAAGCCCCACATAAGCTAGAGGCTGATATAAACTTGGCAACTAAATCTATTAAGGGTCGGTGTTCGTGTGTAGCTGGTGCTGGCGGTTTTTGTCATCATGTTGTTGGGTTGTTGTTCTACATGGCTCACTGTAAGACACTTGGATACAAAGCTATACCTGATGAGCTGACCTGCACCAGCATGCCTCAAAGGTGGAGTGTACCACGGGAAAGGAAAATAGCAACCAAGCCTATACAGGATGTAATGGTGAAGAAGCCAAGACCAGGGGCAAATTATTCAAAGTTCATAAAGAGCACCCTATATTCACCATCAACAGAGTATCCTCTAATGGCTCAAGAACATCTTACTGGGCTCGAACCAGTACCRCTGATGGCAACTATAGCAGTGGCGGAGGCTGTCATTCCTAATATCACTMTGGTTCCAAGYAAGTTTGGTAACGTTGCAAAAGGCTCGGTCCTCTCGTATCAACAAAAACTCTCAGAGGAGTATGTTATAAATGACTATTTCTGCCCTGCATATCCAACACTGCCAACTGATGATGCAGAGGAGAGGATAAAAAACAATTTCASTGTTCCAGACGCAAAAAAGGCAGCTTTAAATGCAATAAGMATAACAATASATCAAGCTATAGACATAGAAGAGAAAACATTAGCACAATCTGCAAGCCAGCTATGGTATTCATTAAGAGAAAAAAGAATCACAGCAAGTAAATTTGGTCTAGTGGCCAAAAGGCAATCAGGTTTTGAAAACCTAGTAAAGCAGTTAAATSCCTCCAAGAGAGTTGTGACTGCAGACATGCAGCGGGGAATAGACCTTGAGCCAAAGGCTGCCATGGTGTACKCTAATGTTGCAAAAGAAGGAAAAGTCAATGTTTATCCAAGTGGCCTTGTGATCAACCCGAAATGTCCTTGGCTTGGATGTTCGCCTGACCGCAAAGTGTGCGACTTCACCGCAGAGGACTTAGGCCATTCTYCCTTTGGCCTACTGGAGGTTAAGGTGACAAAGGAGGGAACTACAGACTTTAGCACAGTCCAGTACATTRCATCTGGCCCTAATGGCAAYATGCTGAAGAAGAACCACATTTATTATTACCAAGTGCARTGTCAGTTGGCATTGACAGGACTGGACTGGTGTGACTTTTTCAGTTATATTAGTGACACAGTCTACCACTGTGAAAGAATAGAATTTGATGAGGATTTTTTTGAAAAAAGCAAAGATAAAGTGGATAGTTTCTTTTTTGATTACTTTTTGAAGTGATTTTATATACATGTATGTGTACATAAATTAGTAGAATTCTTGAAATGATGCAASACAATTTGGTTGATTTTCTTCCTGTTTATTGCAATAATTAAAAAAMTRTTTGGCGTCATACATTACTGAGTAATATGTTAAATGAGCTTTTGATAATAATTCTTATTCACCTATAATGGCTGTTGGTACAACATTATATTAATCAGGTACCAGARAGGTACATACTGTAAAAATATTATCTGTTCTTAGACAAATTATTATACTTAGAATGTCTTCTTTATTAAATATACAAGTTGTTGAGTTATAAAGGTCTAGTTTTGTGAATTTTTTATAAGAGGGCCTTGAAAATTTGTTAATAAACAAATTACGGTGTACATCTGTGGCACAGTGCCTAACATACTTAGAGGTACAGCTGAGTCAAAAATATGGTATTCTTTAATGCGTCTTATGGCCCGTTCTACGTGAATTCTTAGYTTTGCTATGGTTTTTGTTTCTTGAACATCTCTAACAGAAAACTGACTTTGACTTTGTAAAAATGGGGGTATGTTAAGTTTTGCACCTTTTGCTTCAATTAAATCATCAATATCAAAGCCCTTATCAGCCATGACTACATCATTTCTCTCTAGAAGATCTAAAACTCCACTGCACCTTGTGATTTCTTTATCAGAAACAGATCCTGTAAAAAGAGAGGAAACAAAAGTGACAGCTCCATGTGGAGCAATACCTACAAGACCGACTTAAAGTCGTGTTGCTTTTATATGAAGAATATAACTGTGACTGTAGAAGCAACGAAGATGGAGTTTGAACAAATATTTCTGTGCAATCAAGTATCACCCTAGTTTGTGGATACAATTCCTTGAATGCATCAGGCATGTGAAMATTAATGGCTTCTCTTGAAGGCCATATTGGCTGATTTCCTAAAACAAAATACAAATAGTTTGCCCAAGTAGTCACTTTTCTACTAACAGAAGAAATACTTATGTTAAATCTGTGGGCTAAATCTTGTGCAAACAATCCTAGCCTTATCCTAACTAGAAATAAAAAAAATTCATCAATTAAAGGAAGGTTTCGTGCTGAAGGCCTGCTTTCCTGGGAGCTGTACGCATAAACATAACTCATGCGTTCTGCTGAAGGAGCAATGAACTCAAAGAAATTACATAAATGCTGATAGGAAATAAATCCTGTGTAAAATCGTATGTCATCATTATCTGTAGAAAATCTTTCCACACCAAATTTATATATTTGTAAAGCCTGAACTTTTGATCTAAGTTCTTCAATTTCTTTGTGCTTCACTATACAATTTTCTGAGCATTTCTAATTCAGTAGGTGGCTGTTCTTCTGCGATGGCTTCAAGAGGCGAGGGGGGCTGTTCCTCTGGTTGCAGGTTATTCGTGTCTTCATCCTCACTTTCATCTGTCTGTGTCCCACTGTATCACAAAATATACACATCATATAAGTCACAACAATGCAAATGGTTTTTGGCTTAAATATTGCTAAATATGAGATAGAATCATTGCAGGACACAATTAGGGAAAATTGTACAATCTTACCTATCAACATGACGAATCATTTTTCTTCTTTGTTTTGAAGTGCCACTCCAGTTAAAAACTGAAGGGACAACACCAGATTTGAGATTTCTCTTCCCTCCAGGTCCTATGCGATAGTCGTCTACATGAAAATGCCTTGAACAGACTMTTGTGTTTTGTGAAACCTACAAAAAAACATCAAGTGTTGTCACTTTATATAATAGCCTGTTTATAGCGTTTCTTTGTAGCTTTAGATCCTAATATTTTACCTTAAAATACGGGCCTTCGTCCCTTCTTATCTTTGTTATCCACACAGCTTTAAGTGACGAATCCTTTGGAAATCGGTGGAATGAAAGCTCACCGTTGTATCGAGAATCGCCAGTACATAATGGCACACAACAGTGCAGACGGGATGCACGTTTTGTTGTTTTCGAGGCTGATGCGGATTCCTGGTCGATATCTCCGACTTGCAATGTAACATTGGAAAGCCTTGAAAGATCAGGTAGATCCGTTGAAAAATCTAAACCTAAATAATTAAAAGTAAGCAAAGATGAAGTATTCGATTTTAGAAGCATATTGGACGAAGGCGCGCCATCGCAYCTAAAGTTTCGATGCTTGAAATGGTCAAAAATACAAGTAATGAATGAGTCTTTAGGCTTTAAATTGTCTCAATGGAAGTATCTTTATCTATTCTACACAAATCTTGATAAATGAGACTAATAGCGAGGCAAGATTGTGAGTCMAAGAACCATAAACATACCTGAGATTTCCGCCATTATGCGCTAGTGTTTTCCTCGGCGTCGAACAGCTTAAAGGTCCAAAACTCTTCTTTACATACAGCGATCGCAGAAAAACTTATTGGAAAAGAACGAAGACACTTTGCCCTACTTTTGAACCAAAAATCGCCTCAAAAAACTCACAATAAAGGATAAAAACAGATGTTATAGTCTTGGTATTGAACGCTTCGCCAGTCAAAGTCTTATTGTTGTCAHGGTGTGTTGGTTTTGCTTGCCMACCACGGCCTTGTTGCTATGGGGTCATTTGTCACGTGACGAATTGCTGCAAATGGCCTATTACTGTTACAACGTTTTGGCTATTAATTCATATTTATTATATTTTTATATTCAGCTTTTTATATATCATGTTTGCTATATTCTAATTTTTTTTAAATAATATTTTATGTAATCAGTATTAATAACTCATTTTTTACATTATTATATATACAATTCCAAATGTAATTAATTTATAGATTAGTTGATTAGTGCTTTGCACTATTAAGCGGTATCCTCACTAAGTAAAGTTGTTGTTTGTTGTTGTTGTTGTCCTCCCCAGTGCCGAGATTACAATGTGCTACCGAGCAACGAATTGCTAAAAAATGTTAACACTAAATGACTAGTAGTAATATATTAAGGGTTCCAACACACAACAGCTAGCCACCTGCACCGACCGAAATTTCAAGTCTCAATTTTTTTGCCCCAGAAGCGTTACTATTACTACTTTGGTGGATTTGTTTTATGATTATATTTCTCTAGATATATAATGGCTAATAGAACTGAATTAATTGCGTTGTTAATTTCAGAAATGTATAAAGAATCTCAACTTGATAATATCCATAAGTGGYTGAAGAAGCATTATCCTATTTCTTATAAACATGATTCTGCTGTAAAAGAAAATATTGCCAAATTTTTATTTGATAACAGAAAAGACGAGTCTCTTTTAAAGGTAGATCTTTGGAAGCTTATAGACCCGATTGTGTTTTCTGAATTCGAAAAAATAATAGCGCCTCTTTTAAATAATAAACTTATCAAAGATTTTGGTAAAGAGCTAGGGCGTGAAAAAGATATTAAAGATGACTCGGATTCATCAGATGGCCTAGGATTCGGCCTCTTTGACTAACATAACTTGGAATAACAACACTATCCAATATATTTTTAAATAATTCAAGATCCCGCTTTAGTTCAACTATATCATCTTTAATAATATCTTCATATTTTTTTT